GAGAATAAAAGTTATGCCTTCTTTCTTTGCGTGAACATTTGGGCTGCGTTATGCAAATCTTCCCACATAGTGACGTTAGAACGAGCCGTTTTAGGTAGGCGTGGTTGACTCTTAACTTTTATAAAGAATATTTCTTTGGATTTGAAACTTTAGTCTTTGCAACTTTACAGATCTTCTTTATGCACCAAGAGCTTGTAACACTCCAAAGGGGATCATATGACCCCTTTAAGATCAGATCTTGTTGTCTTTTTCCAGTTAAAATCCCATATACTTTGTACTTCTGAGATGTTTGATTTGATCTGATGCTTTACTAATAGAACTGAATCATAACTCTCATTTACACCTATTAAAATTTATGAAAGGCATGTTGAGTTTATAGAGTTTTATTTTCTCTTGTTAGTTTGAAAGTGATGCAGTTTTTGTCCTTTCCTCTTGTTATGCAGGTGTTCCAGGTGGTGACTACATCAACGCCAACTTCATAGATGGGTACCGCCGACAGGGCGCTTACATCGCCACCCAGGGCCCCTTGCCAGACACGTTTAGTGACTTCTGGAGGTTGGTGTGGGAACAACACACAGCAAATATCATCATGATCACCAAACTTGAGGAGAAATCCAGGGTGAGAGCACTAAATCATACAGATACAGACCACACTCGAGTCATGTGGAGTCATACATTTCCAGACAGAAACACACACACAGTCTCTGTTCCAAAATCTAGTAAGCATCCTTGCTGTCACCTATCTACAGTATATAGGCAGCACTTTGAAATAAATGCACACATTCCTTAGCAGCAGCTCCTCAAAACATGCTCCAATTGTTACCCAGCTAACAATATTTGGTTCCCAGAATGTTATTTTTTGGTTCCCAGAACTTTATTTTTTATGGTTTGTTTTTGGTTAGCCGGGAAAGTTTTCTTAACAGAAATAGAACGTTCGTTTTTGGTTTGTAGAACTTTTAATCTATTGTTCCCAGAACATTAGTTTTTGGTTCCCAGAACGTTACTTTGTTAAGGTTTGTTTTTTCGTTAGCTGGGAAAGTTTTCTTAACGGAAATAGAACGTTAGTTTTTGGTTTGTTATTATAACGTTCCCCTAACCACTTTATGTTACACATATGATTACCCCGCTGTACGTCAGTAATCATCCAGCACAATCGCGGCCCAGTGTAGTATAAGCGGCATGAAAATGATCTGTATGGACGCCTAATCAGTATTATTAAAAACAAATCTTGTTTTTATCTATTGTTTAATTAATAAAAATAATCTGATCACATCAACCATCATATGTAAGATTAAATTTGTCCATTAATATGTAAGATTACGGGCTAGCCAGATTTTGCATTTCTTCAGCACCAAATAAAAATGACTTCAACACAATTTATTGTTTATAAAATATGACATTTATTCACATATATTAAAAAAATTAATAAACAATTACTTGACTTAAAGTGGTGGTTGATTTCGATTTGACTTTTTTAATGTTAGTTAGTGTGTAATGTTGCTGTTTGAGCATAAACAATATCTGCAAAGTTACGAAGCTGAAAGTTCAATGCAAACGGAGATATCGTCTTTTAAAATTCTGGCAGTTTAATGCCTACAAAAACGGCTGGTAGGGACTACAACGAGTTACTTCCTGGGTCCGTGACATCACAAACCCAGATAAACCACGCCCTCGGGAAAAGGCAGCAAAGGGGGCGAGGCCATGCTGCGCTGCTTTAGAGAAGAGGAAGAGAAAACTAGAGGTGCACATAAAAATCTATTCATATATG